TCAGTGTAGGTTCAGTTCAATTTCAGATAGCTCCTCTTTCCAGCTTACACTTCTTGATATCTGTAGGCCCCTTCTGGTGTAGTCGGTGTTACCTTCAGGGATTTTAATCTGTTGCACTGGTCCTTTCTGAAGCGGTTCCCTTTGTTTATTTGGCTTCTGTTTGCCGTCTCTTTGGTGTCTAATTTCCGCCCTGACACAGGCGGGTGGAGGAGATCTCTTATTTAGGTTCGCTAGTTCAGTTCAGTCCTGCTACGGGGAGGGCGGGGCGCTGCAGACAGATACCGCTCCGTGTGGATAGCACTCACCGTGTTCCGGCCACACTGGGTTTGCCCCGCTCACGGGTGTCAGTGCTTTTGCCGTCTACACTGCTCAGGCTCCCGGCTGCTCTATATGGAGCGGGCCCTGCGTTGAGTGCGGTTCCAGTTTTCGGGTACTCCACAAAAGCGCAGATTCGGTTGCGCCTGCGTTTTGTGCCTTCCCCGGCCTGAGCGGTTCAGGCAGCCAGAGGCTTGGGCGCACTCTCCCCGGGTGCGGCGCGCCTTTTCCCTCCGCGTCGAGCGGCCCAGGCAGCCAGGGGCTTGGGCGCACTCTCCCCGGGTGCGGCGCGCCTTTTCCCTCCGCGTCGAGCGGCCCAGGCAGCCAGAGGCTTGGGCGCACTCTCCCCGGGTGCGGCGCGCCTTTTCCCTCCGCGTCGAGCGGCCCAGGCAGCCAGAGGTTTGGGCGCAATCTCCCCGGGTACGGCGCGCTTTTTCCCTCCGCGGCCCCAGCGCGCGCCGCCAGTCGGGTCTCAGGAAGTCTTTAGATAGGAACCGGGGGCCTGTTTGCTGAGTTTCACTTTAAAATTTTATTTTTTAGATTGCACTTATAAGTGAACTTATGTAGCATTTGTCTTTCTCTGCCTACCTTATTTCACTCAGCATGATGACCTCCTAATTCATCCAAGTTGTCATATAAGGTAGCATTTCCTTCTTTCTCACAGTTGAATAATACTTCATTTTATCTGTGTGTCACCTTTTCTTCAGCTGTTGATCCATTGACAGACACTTGGGTTATTTCCATATCTGAACTACTGTAATGATGCTGTAATGAACCTGGGAGTGCAGATAATCATTTTGATTCTTGATTTTGTTCCCTTTGTGTGCATACCCAGAAGTGGAATTACTGGATCATAGGGTAGTTCTACTCTTAGGTTTTTGAGGAGTGTTGGTACTGTTTTTCATAATAGCTGTACCAATATGCATTTCCACCAACAGTTCAGTCAAATTGTTTTCTTGCGATTGAGTGGTTTGAATTCCTTATATATTTTGGATATTCACCCCTTTTCAGATGGATGGTTAGCAAATATTTTCTCCCACTTTATAGATTGTCTCTTCCCTTTGGTGATTGTTTCCTTTACTGTGCAAGAAGCTTTTTAGTTTGATGAAATCCCATCTGTCTACTTTTGCTTTTGGTGCCTGTGCTTTTGGTGTCATGTCCAAAACAGTGTTACCTACATCAGTGTCAGGAAGTTTTTCCCCTATATTTTCTTCTAATAGTTGCATGGTTTCAGGTCTTACAATCAAATCTCAATTCCATATCAAGTTGATTTTTTGCATATGTAGTGAGATGAGTTCAATTTCTTTCTTCTACATGTGGAAAACCAGGTTTCTTAGCACTCTTTGTTGAAGAAACTATCCTTTCTCTAATTGTGTGTGTTCTTTGCATTTTTGATAAAGATCATAAATGTGTAGAAACAAATGTATTTCTCTATTGTGATGCTCTATTGTGTTCCAGTGTTCTGTGCATCTGTTATTATGCCAACTATGTTATTGTTGATTACTATAATTTTGTAGTAGTTTTTGAAATCTCATAGTCAGATGCTACTAATTTTTTTTTTTTTTTTTTTGCTTATGATTGCTCTGGCTATATGTGATCTTTTATGGTTCCATATAAATTTTAAGACCTTTTCTAATACTTTGAAAAATGCCATTGCAATTTGATAGGGATTCCATTGAATCTGAGGATTGCTATGAGTAATATAGTTATTTTTTAATTCTTCCAACCCATGAGCATAGTATATCTTTCTATTTGTGTCTTCTTCAATAGCTTTCAGGCTTCCCAGGTAACTCAGCTGGTAAAGATTCCGTCTGCAGTGCAGGAGACCCCGGTTCAATTTCTGGGTTGGGAAGATTCCCTGGAGAAGGGATAGGCTACCCACTCTAGTATTCATGGGCTTCCCTGGTGGCTCAGATGGTAAAGAATCATCTGCAATGCAGGAGATCTGGGTTCTATCCCTGGGTTGGGAAGATCCCCTGGAGGACGGCATGGCAACCTACTCCAGTAATCTTGCCTGGAGAATCCCTGTGGACAGAGGAGCCTGGAGGGCTACTTTGCCAACAAAGGTCTGTATAGGCAAAGCTGTGGTTTTTCCAGTAGTCATGTACGGATGTCAGAGTTGGACCATCAAGAAGGCTGAACACCAAAGAATTGATGCTTTTGACCTGTGGTGTTGGAAAAGACTCTTGAGGGTCCCTTGGACAGCAAGGAGATCAAACCAGTCATTCCTAAAGGAAGTCAATCCTGAATATTCATTGGAAGGACACATGGTGAAGCTGAAGCTCCAATACTTTGGCCACCTGATGCAAAGAGCCAACTCATTAGAAAAGACCCTGCTGCTGGGAAAGATTGAAGGCAGGAAGAAAAGGGGATGATAGAGGATGAGATGGTTGGATGGTATCACGGACTCAATGAACATGAGTTTGAGCAGGTTCTGGGAGATGGTGAAGGACAGGGAAGCCTGGATGCTGCAGTCCATGGGTTCGCAAAGAGTCACACATGACTGAGCAACTGAATAACAACAACAATAGCTTTCATCTACTTTGTTAAATTTATTCCTAAGTACTTTGTCGTTTTAATACTATTGTAAATAATATGGTTTTCTTTTTCTTTTTCAGATAGTTCACTGTTAGTATATAGCAATGCAACTGATTTTTATATGATGATTGTATATCCTGTAACTTTACTGAAATCATTTGTTGGTTGGTTCTAACAGTTTTTTAGTGAAGGGTTGAGGGTTTTCCATCTATAACATTATATTATCTGCAAGCAGAGAGTTTGACATCTTCCTTTCTGAGTTGGATGCCTTTCATTTCTTTTTCTTGCTTGATTGCTCTGACCAGAATTTCCAGTACTATGTTGACTAGGAGTGGTGAGGGTAGGCACCCTTATCTTGTTCCAGATCTTTGAGGAAAATATGTTAACCTTTCATTGTTGAGTATGATGTTATCTGTGAGTTTGTCATATATGGCTTTTATCATGTTGAGGTACATTCTTCTGTACCTACTATGTTGAGAGTTTTATCATTAAAGGATATTGAATTTTGTTAAATAATTTTTCCCACATCCATTGAGATGACCATATGATATTTATCCTTCATTCAGTTAATGTGCTGTATGACATTGATTGGTTAACTTATGTTGAATCAACCTTGCATCCCAGGAATAAATTCTGCTTGATCACGGTGTCCAGTCCTTTAAATGTGCTGTTGAATTGAGTTGCTGAGTATTTTGTTGAGAATTTTTGCATCTGTATTCATCAGAGACATTTATTTGTAGTTTACTTTTTATGTAATATCTTTATTTGGCTTTAGTATCAGGGTAATGCTGGCTTTGTAAAAATGAGATTGAAACTGTTCTCCTGCTCTTTGATTTTTGGAAAAGTCTGAGAAGGATTGACACTTATTTTTCATTAAATGAATTCTACCTAACTTTTAATTCATAGGTGAATTTTGTAATTGTTGTTGTTCAGTCACTCCGTCATGTTTGACTCTTGTGACCCTATGGGCTATAGCCCTCCAGGCTCCTCTGTCCATAGGATTTTCCAGATAAGAATACCAGAGTGGGTTACCATGCCCTCCTCCAGGGGATCTTCCTGACCCAGGGATTGAACCTGGGTCTTCTTCATTGGCAGGTGGGTTCTTTACCACTGAACCACCTGGGAAGCCCCTTGGTGAATTCTACCAAACATTTAATGAAAAATTAAGAAGAATTTAATTAAGAGAAGTATAGAATTTGGGTAATTAGCCTTATCACAGACTTATGTAATTTAGTGTCTTGAGTATAGTAGTGTGGCTGGGAGGAAATGGAAAGAAAACAGTAAATAAAATGGCAGGCCATCTCTAGGCCGAAGGCATCTTCAGTCATGGTATGCATATACTAAATTACTGAGAAAGATCCTTCCCAAGATGGACTAGCTGAAGGTAAGTACAGATGCACACAGTCTATTCAATTTCAATATGAAAATTAGAACTCATGCTAAGATTTCAGTGAAGGGTAAAGTTATAATGTGTTATGTTTAGAGTTTTAAAATTTGGTGTGTTATTTCAGGAGCTCTGGGCCAAGGATTTATTCGCTGATTTTTTTTTTCCAAGTTTGTTTTATTCTTTTTTACTAGGAAGAAAGTTTCTGTGACTATTAGCTCTGGACATCTGATTCCCTCTGCTCTCCTGGGCTCCAGAGGTAGTTCTAAAGTTATCAGACCAGAGTTTAGGGAAGGCTTAACTTCCTTAGCCTTTGTTATGAGAGCCACATTTACTTCCTCATTTAGTGCTATTTCATTTGGGGCAAGGTATGACTTCAAATTATAGTTAATTCATTTTTCCTTTGGGAGAGTCAAGTTTTGGGTCAGATTTTAACCTACATACTTCTCTTTAGATCTCTCTTTTTTTTTATTATTCTTAATTAAGAATATAAATTATATTCTTAATCTATAATGTATTGTAAATAGAAAAGTTTATATAGAACTAAGAGAATTGCTTCTGTTAACTAATTGCTAATACAAAGAATCACATGTCAAGCATAATCTTAACTTACTGAGGAGAATAACTTGTGGCTTCTATGGGGTTTCTTTTTCATATAATCAGTTTTATTTGAAAAGTTTTTGGTTAAAAGGCATAATTATTTTAAGGTGTTCTACCATGGTGGAAATTTATTCTAACATAGGCATTTTATTTACTCTCAAAGGACTTTCTTCAGAAGATACCACACCTTTAACGCAAGAAAATGTACTACGTGTAGCCACACATGCAGTTAGTGATGAAGAATCTGCAGAAGTAAATGCTAACGATCAACTAGAAGCCCCAAAGCTGGTTCTGCAGTCTCTGTTCTCACTTATACGAGGTGAAGTTGAGCAGTTGGATTCAAGAGCACTTCCCCTTTGCCTTCACCAGGTATCTTGCTGAACTTTCAATTGTAGCCTCGCTGAAATTCTGGGGCCAATATTTGTAATAATCTAAAGTGCAGTTCTCTGTCATTGATTCTGCTCCAGCTGTCATTGGTGAGTCCAAGAGAAGGTGACCGTGGGTCCGCAGCTGGTAGGAAATCTGGCACATCTCTGACTGGTGGCCACATGTTGGCTTGGATCATTAGTCTGTGGCTCATACAATCACCAGCTGCTTTTACTTGGTGGTGGTGGTGGTTTAGTCAATAAGTTGTGTCCGACTCTTGAAACCCCATGGACTGTAGCCTGCCAGGCTCCTCTGTTCAATGGGATTTCTCAGGCAAGAATACTGGAGTGGGTTGCCATTTCCTCCTCCTGGGGAATCTTACTAACCTAGGGATCAAACCCGCGGTTCCTGTGTCTCATTACAGGCAGATTGGTTACTACTGAGCCGCTAGGGAAGCCCCGTCTCTTAGTGTGTACAGATGAGGGTCGGCGTAGTGCACAAATGGGTCAGCGTAGAAAGTGCTTAGTAAGTACCACCAAGGTGCCCAAGACTAAGCTAGACACTGGGGAAATAGATTACATCAGAGCATGTGCTTAAGACAGACACTGTGGAACAGGAGAAACAATTATGTAGGTAGCTAATGGTAGAAGTCTGTATAAAGTATTAGAGTAGGTGTGTGCTTCAGGTTCAGCAAAAGCACAAAATGCCTGATTAACTTTGTCCTTTGGACATTAGGCAGAAACAAGGTGATTCTTGAGCTGGGTTTTGCAGGATGTATAGGCTCACAATAGATAAAGAATGTGAACTGGTACAGAAAGAGATCAGCCTTTGCAAAGACATGACTGGGATATTATTTTGAAGATTAAGATGGAAGAGAGACGAGAATTAAGCGATTGGATAACTTGTAACATTAAGGTCTTGCTTTTAGAGGCTGAGAGCTTTTAATTATGCAGGTGCCAAAATTAGAATTCTAGAAATATAATTCTTGATGATTGAGAGGGTAAACTAGAAGACGGAGAGCCTGGAGACTGGGAGACCTTAAGGACAGTAATATAGAAGTTTTTTTACATGAGATAATTCTCAAAAGATTAAAGTATTTATGAGCTGCATTTTATCTTCTTTTGAAATGAAAATAATTCATATATGGGAATGGAAGAAGCTTCTGTTTTATTTCACTCACTCTTCCTGTTTCATTAAACATTTGCGATAAGCAGTGAATAATTTTTTAAAAGTAAAATAGTTTTTGTCCCAAGGCAGGAAAACATATATTCTTACAAATTTACATTACCTCCTTGGTGGGCTTGAAGAATGCCTTTGAGAAAATGTGTACTACTCTTTTGACCTCTGGTGTGTTGCTAACATATATAATACATGTTTACCATAGTTGAGAACTGTAGTTGAGAACTACCAGTACCAAGGCAGCTTTCTAATCTTTCAGCCTTCTTTTTTTTTTTTTTTCATTTATTTTTATTATTTGTAGGCTAATTACTTTACAATATTGTAGTGGTTTTTGCCATACATTGACATGAATCAGCCATGGATTTACATGTGTTCCCCATCCTGATCCCCCCTCCTGCCTCCCTCCCCATCCCATCCCATCCCTCTGGGTCTTCCCAGTGCACCAGCCCTGAGCACTTGTCTCATGCATCCAACCTGGGCTGGTGATCTGTTTCACCCTTGATAGTATACTTGTTTCAGTGCTATCCTCTCAGATCATCCCACCCTCGTCTTCTCCCAGAGTCCAAAAGTCCATTCTATACATGTATCTCTTTTTCTGTCCTGCATATAGGGTTATCGTTACCATCTTTTTAAATTCCATATATATGCGTTAGTATACTGTATTGGTCTTTATCTTTCTGGCTTACTTCACTCTGTATAATGGGCTCCAGCTTCATCCACCTCATTAGAACTGATTCAAATGAATTCTTTTTAATGGCTGAGTAATATTCCATTGTGTATATGTACCACAGCTTCCTTATCCATTCGTCTGCTGATGGGCATCTAGGTTGCCTCCATGTCCTGGCTATTATAAACAGTTCAGCCTTCTTTGAATTTGTACAATGGATTGAGTTTGTGAAGGATATTTATACTAACTATTATTTCATTCTCCAAACAATCTAGAAATGCACTGTCATCATCTGTACAAATGGGAGATAAAAGACTCCCTCACAAAGCAGGTTCCTTATGGTTGTAGAGCTTTTTTTTGTGCTCAGTTGCTCAGTCGCTCAGTCATGTCTGACTCTTTGCAGCCCCATGGATAGTAGCCCACCAGGCTCCTCCACCCATGGAATTTTCCAGGCAAGAATACTGGAGTGGGTTGCCATCTCCTATTCTAGGGGCTCTTTCCAACCCAGGGATCAAACCCACATCTCTCAAAGCGTGTGTTTTGGGGACAACTTGACAGAAATTTGAATATTGACTGTATAATGATAATAACTATTGCATCATTGTCAAATTTCTTGAGATTGATAATGGAATTGAAGGTCATGTAGGAGAGTGTCTTTATTCTTGGGAGACACACGTGCAAGTAGTATTTAGGATAAAGTTACATAATGCCTGCAACTTAAGACATTTCAGTGGGGAAAAAATGTGTAAGAAACGGAAAGAGAAAGAGAAGATTTGGCAAAATGTCAATAATTGACAAATAAATAAAAGGTATATGACTGTTGATTTTACTATTCTTTGAAGTCTTCTGTACAATTTCAATAGAAAGTTGGGGAAATGGACATTTGGAGTAAAACAGCTAAGTGTAGCCAAATCTTTTCAAGCAGTTTATGTCACTGGGCTATTGTTACATTAAATATAAGGAGAATGCTCTTTTCTACTAGCAGGTGATCCTATAGCTGAAGCAGATCTAGTAGAAGATCACATTTTTAGTCAGGAAGATGATAGTCTTGATCAGATGCAGATTATTTCATTTTTTTAATGTCTCAAAGTAAAACTCCACCTTCATCCCCTAGGAACATGTCAGTTTGCATAACCTATAGGATATGCTTCTGAAATACCTCAGCAGTCTGTCCTCTCCTGGCAAAGAAGATTAGAGAGTATAGTGGTGCCTTTAAAGTATGGGCTCTGGCTCTACTTTAAAATCTAACTCTTAACCCTACTCCTAACAAACTAAGTTTCATCTTCTGTAATGTTGTAGAGGACTCATTAAAATACTGCATGTAAAAGTACTTAACATATCAATAACACTTGGTATGGTTAACATAGAAGTAATTAAACATTAAGTGGTATAACTGTATTTCTCTGTCACTAATTCAAACATTGCTTGTTGGAAAGAGATGGCTGAAACTGCAGTAAGCGGAGACACCAAGGCAGGAGGAGTCAGCTGGCGACTGCCTTCCGTAGTCCAGGACTACAGAATATCCTGTCAGTTAGTCTCAAGGGAAACATAAGTCAGAGAGAAGTGGAGTGACTTTTTTTCCCCCATTATTTAGTAATTCCCAGCAGTTCACACTGTGCCTTTCACTTGAATTTGACAGTTGTTGACATTTTGCCAGATTTTCGTTTTCTCTCCTCCCACTCAACCCTACCCTACATATTTACTTTCCATGAAACATCTTAAAGTAATTTTCAGGCATTACATCACTTCACCCTTAAATACTTGCACATAAATTTCCCAAGAACAATGACACTCTCCTGAATAACTTACAATGCCATTATCAACCCCAAGAAATGAGATGTTGGTTTAGTATTATTTAATACAGAGCCTATATTTGTTTCTTCAGGTTATTCCACAAATATTCATTATAACTAGTTCCCTTCTGATCCAGGATTCAGTGAAGGAGCACACATTGCATTTGGCTGTGAACATTCTTTAATCCTTAGTAATCCAGAACAATTCCCTGCCTTCTGTTTTATTTGTTTGTTTATTTTTGCTTGTATAACATTGACACGTCTGAAGAGTTAAGAATTCATGTAAAAATGTCCCATAATTAGGATCTGTCTGATTATTTTTTCATGATTTGATTCAGGTTAAAATATATTGGGCAAGAATTCTACCTAGGTAACATTCCATATTCAGATGTCTCTTGAACTCACTCCAGTCTGGCCTTTGTGCCAACTACTCCACCAGAATTGCATTGTAAATGCCAGGATTGATCTTCATGTTGCATGCTCATGTGAATCTAGTTGTTAGTCCTCAGTTTTCTTCCTACTGGAAGTATTAGAAGCTCTGACAAGTTGATCACATGCTTTTTTTTTGCAGCATTTTCTTTTGCTTTTTAGGACCCCCCTTTCCACATTTATATCTTACCTCACTGGATATGCCTTCTCTGGGTCATTTGTTGAGTCCTCCAAATTTTACTGATTGTTAAACATTGGAGTGCTTGAGGATTCAGTTCTGCGGTATAGACTAAACATCCAGCTTCCTGAGGCATCTTATGGGCCTTTCAAACTTAAGATGCCCAAAATCAGACTTTGATTTTTTTTTTCTCCCTTTTGTTAGATGGCATATCCATCCCTCTAGTTGCTGAGACCAAATACTTTGAAGTCATGCTTCACTTTTCCCCATGTCCATATCCAGTCAGCAGATCCTGCCAATATATTTAAAAACCATGCAGATTCTGATGTCTTCTTTCCTCCTTCATTGCCGCCATCTCAATACAAGACACTATGAGATTTCATTCAGATTCTTGCAGTAAACTAATTGTAGAACCCTCTCTGCTTTACCTTTATTTCCATTTAGGTTTTTTTCCCCCCCTCTACACAGCAGTCATTGTGATCCAGATAAAATGTTAGCTGGGATCATGAGACTTCTCTGTTCAAAACTATCCACTGACTTCTTTTCACATTCAGAGTAAAAGCCAAAATTCTTACCATGGCAAGACACTCCATGATCTGGCCCTGTTACCTCTTAGACCTTAATTCCTAAAACTCTCCTTCTTCTTCACTTCTTTCCAGATACACTGGGCTCCTAGCACTTCCTCAGCTATCCCAGGAATACTCCTACATCAGGGGCTGTGATATTTGCGTTTCATCCTTTCTCAGGGAGTCACTATATGATGTGCTTCACCGAAACGAGAGTAAACCAAGGAACAGAAAGATAAGATACAAGAAAATGGGGTGCTACCCTGGAGATGGGTGAAGGGGATCTCTAGGTGAAGAGAGAGTCTTAGATGACAGCTTTGTACCAAGAAGGAGATAGTACCCATTTCTATTTGAGCAAATCAGAGGGTCTAGGAAGAAACTTTTATATCATTTTCCGATTTCTGAATATTTGATGTGTCTGAATACATTGAGGGAAGATTTCAACTCTTGATAGACTAGAGTTGTGTAAATGGTAAGTGCATGGAAAACTATACCCAAAAAAAAAAAGAAAAAAAAGAAACTCCAGAGAAAACAGAAAGTTTTCAGCAAAGGAAAAATATTAAGAGTTTACTGCATGGCTTACTCATAATAAGGTAAACATTAAATGTTTACCTTTTACTACATACAACATAACAATATGGGATAGGTCAATATGTGAGAGAAAGTGTGTGTGATATATGTTTGTAGAGGAAGGAGCAAAAGACTCAATCCCCATTTTCTAAACCTGAAAAAATCAAGAAATAGCAAATATAAGCATAATATTTAGAGCTATAGCATTTTTTAAAAAAGAGATACCTAAGCACTTACTCCTGAAGAAAGAATAGGACATGAACAGTAGGGCCTTTCTTAACACACCTTATAGAACCATTTGACTCTTTAAACCATATAAATATATATTTTTGATAAAGATAAGCGATAAAAGAATAACTTTATAATTCAAACATAAAGTGAGAATAGCTTCTAGGTTAAGGTGCTGACAGTGGAAACACGGAGAGGTGAATTTGAAATCTTGACATAAGGACTTGGTGTAGATAATGAAAAAAGGGATGATAAAGAAATCAGAGAAGATTAATTATAGGAATACCCAGTTAGGAGGAATGGTAGTACCACTGACAGAAATAAGGAAGTATTAATGTAGAGTTAATTACAGGATAGTTATTATTTTTAACATATTATATGGATGAATATATGCTAAAGGACATTTGATATTAATGACTATGATCACTGCAGATATTCACTTACATTTTTAGCTCTCGGAACTCTCTTTTTTCTTTTGGCACTTAATATGTTTTATTGATTCTTGTTTTCCAAGCATCCATTGTAAATCTCTGTCAGTATGGGCATAACAGTACTAATAACAGCCTCAATAATAAGAATAATAAAATAGGAAATACTGTTTTGTTAGCACTATTCTAGGTTTTTTAGCCCATTTAATCCTCACAGTAATACTATCAGAATGACACATTATTATAACCAAGGAAGATTTTTTTTTAACTTGTCTGAAGTCACACAGCCAATAAGTCATAGAGACAGGATTCAAGTCCATGTCTGGTTCCAGAGTCCACACTAAAGTTCTTGGAACTCTCGAAGATTCCATTTAAACATTACTTTTCTTGGGGACTTCCCTGGTGGTCTGGTGGTTAAGACTCTGCACTTCCACTGAAGGGTGCATGGGGCTGATCGCTCATCAGGGAAGGTCCACAGGCCGTGTAGTATGGCCAAAAAAAAAGAATTATTTTTCTTGGGTTTGAGTAATCTCTTATACACTGACTTTGTTAATATAATGGCAGGTTAGCTTTACGTGTATAACAGGTCATAAACTTGAGAGTTTTTCATATAGAAGTAAGGAGAAGTTCAGGTGCTCTCAAGTACTCTGTGCTCAGTGAACATGTCCTGAAACTCCTCTCGGACTCAAGCAGAAATGGCTTCACTGGGATCCTTGAAACCACTCTGAGACTGCAGACAAACAGATACACCTTCCTAATTCCTTTTTTTTCCCCTGTAGATAAAAGATGCCTGAAACCAGGAAAACCTTAAAATTACTGCCCTCCCAAAGTGATTTTCAACTCACTTCTTCACGATTCTACTCTGCACTGGTAGAGTAAACCATTTCTGGTCCAGAGTCAGCAAGTGCAAACCATCTTAAGCACTTGCTGTTGTGTCCTGGGCACTGTACTAGACACATGTTCTGTCTCCTAGAGTTGTGGGTATTATTGACCCTGTTTCACAAATAAGGAAGCCAAGGTTGAGACATGAAATGACACGTCGAGAGTCACACAGCTGGTAGTAGCAAAGCTTTGTCTCGAACACAGTCAGGTTTTTCACCTTCAAACTTCATGTTTTTCTGCTCTACCAAGCTACCTCCCGGATTTAGACATTTGGGGCATCCAAGAAAATCACACCTTCTTTTACCCTGCTCAACTTGCCAAGAATAGGTTTTTATATGAGGAAGCACCTTGTATGTTTATTTTTCAAGCTGCCCTATCACCTGGAAGTGCCTTTCTACTTTTGAGGCCTTGGGTTTCATGATCCTATCCTTATTGTTGCACTTATGGGACTGGAACTGTCCCAGAAGTCTGAAAGCTAATTGATTAAACTGACAATTTACAGGGAGGTGATTGGGTCCATCTATATTGTTGTATTGCTCCTGGAAGAATGTTAGATATATAGAATAAATTTTAAGCTCGGCAACTATTTCCTTTAAAACTATACTTTTTCCACTGTGGGATTTAGAAAAAAACATTCCTTTTTCATTTCTAATTTATAGGTTTGATTAGTGCTTTATTGCTCTGGGTACTGATAGCTTCCTGGAGAGTAGAGATTGTGATCCATAAACAGAATACCTTTTTCATTAGAGACTTAGGAAAAATCAGGGCAAACTGAAAGTGTAAACTACTTAATGAAGTGTTTTAAGTATGACAGTAGTCAATTCATGCAAATATTTCTCCATGTATACTTTTGGTTTTACTGTTCCATTTATAAATGCTATATCTGAATAAAGGATCCCAAAGTTTTTAGAATCAAAGAATTTTTAAATTTAAAGTTGCCCTAGAATGAATCAGCTGGGTACAGGTGCTGCGTCCCTGGACCCTGCCCTCCCATCCAGTGCCCCTTATCCTGCGCAGCACCTTGCATGTATTCCAAACGTCATTGCTCAACTAGTAACACTTGGTCTGTCCTTTTCTGAAATTTCAAAAGAGAATGAAAAATCAGTGTCCCAGGAGGTAGTTTGTGAAATACTAATGGGACAAATGGGTTTTAAAATCCCTTGTGACATGACATATTTCAGGTTTTTAGTTTATGATAAAGCCACCCTTTCATTCATGTTCTACTTTTATAAGCCTGGATAGCATTTCTCTCCCTCTTTAGAGTTCTTATTCTAAACTCTAATGAATCAGTGATGTTTGCTTTGACTTGAAATAGAATAGAAAAAATGAGATTGTGTACGGACCAAAGAATGTCTGTGTTTGCTTTTCTTGAGACAAGTGACTTCAGAAATGTGTCTTGTGCCTAGAGTCATATTTTTTCTGAACTGGTGAATATAGTTAAATAAGAGTTTTCTTAGTTTGATATCAAAGACTTTGAGAGTTTCAAAGTTTTGGTTTCTTCCAAATTTGTCTTTTTATTCAACTGTTAATTTAACTTTCTCTGTTTTTTATTTGCTTTTAACAGATAGCAGAGTCTTATTTCCAGGAGGAGGACTGTATCCTTTTTTTAATTACAAGAAGAAATGCCGAGCGTTCACTAAGAACGCTTAGTGAATTGCCCATTTTTAAAATTGAGATTTACCTACAATGAATGTATGATCTGTTGTTTTCACTGGATTTTGTTTCATGTACCCATGTAACCATCTCAGAAAGCAAGATGTAGGAAATTTGTTACTCCAAAAAATTCTCTAGAACCACCCAAGTTTGACCTCCTGTTGACAAGCTCTAATTTTACCAAAATCTAAATATTTGTGTGTGGAGGAAGGGAGAAGGCACATTACAAAAGAATAAAAACCCGTAGGATTTGTTTTCTTTTGAATTAAACAGAAGTACAATTGAAGTAATATTCACATGGTAGAGTTCGTCAGCTGTATTATGCATAGCAAATCTCATGACTCATATTATAGCTATATATATATATAGCAAAGGGAAGATTGAGTTATTCATTAGCAATGAACAGAATAACTGTTGTCAAGAAAGACTGCATGTTAACTTTTGTTTGTGCTGTCTCTTCAGTCATGTCTGACTCTTTATAACCCAGTGGACTGTAGCCCACCAGGCTCCTCTGTCCATGGGATTCTCCAGGCAAGAATACTGGAGTCGATTGCCATGCCCTTCTCCAGGGGATTTTTCAGACCCAGGGATTGAACCCACGTCTCTTACATCTACTTGTATTGGCAGGCAGGTTCTTTACCACTAGCACCACGTGGGAAACCCATAACTTTTGTTAAAGAAAGATTTATTCCTTCCTTTTTTTAATTTCCCTCTCTTAAAATTGTATTTATTTTTTCAGAGAAGGTCCCATATATACATTCTAGAGAGAACTCATCCTAAGTATCTTTATTTCCCCATTTGTGTGGTTTCTTTTTTCTCCTAACCTTACTGATTTTCACTACAGATTAGGGGACAAGCAGTTGTCATCCTGAACCCTATCAAGTAAACTAGTAAAGTGTGGTAGAAACTTCGGACAGTGGCTGTTCATCACTAAGTCTGGAGGAAATCAAATTTTTACGGAAATGAAGCTTAGAACTACCCAAATGATGAGTATGAGGTAGTGCAGTGCAGATCACATCAACTTCCCTGGGAACTTCCTAGAAATGCAGACTCGTGGGCTTTAGAATCAGAGCTTCTGGGGATCAGACTCATGAATCTGTATTTTACCAAGATTTTCAAATAACATTTATGTTCAGTGAAGTGTGAGAAACATTGGTATATTTTTAAGTTACGAGCAGAGGAAAATAGAATTGTCTCTGCTTCTCCTTGGTCTATTTTATGATCCCTGGCATATCTTTAAGTCACAAATGAGAGAGAGAACTGAACCTCTGAGTGACCATGGGAAGGCTAAAAAGCTGAACAATGAATTTTTTCTCTCCCTTCTTTCTGGGTCAACATTTAGAACATGGCCCAAAGGAAGCTAGACAGTTGGACAGTTTGTCATGACCTCGTATAATGCTAAATGTGTGATACAGATGGAGAAGGCAGAAGTTCATAAGAAAATCTATCAAAAAAAGTCAAATCACATAATTATGAAAATCACTGTGGCAAGTTACTTTACAAAAAAAGAAAGCATTCAGTGAGAAATAAGGATCACGGGGAGTTGAAATCACAAACAAACATTTGACTGGAGGGTAACTGAACTGAACATAGTGGCTTGACAAAATGTAATTTAAGGAGAGAAAACGGAGGGGGGGACACTTACATTATGGATTCCATATGGGTCCTATTTCCAATTAAATTATATTTAATTGACTCTGCTAGGTATTATTAGCAAGCAGGCATTTCTTGAACATTAAAACCTTCTTTTTGTGTCTCCTGTTTACTGATAGACTAGAAACCAGGTAGCTACTGCATGATATGCAACATTAAAATTTACCTACTTCAAAACCAAGAAACCTTACTTTTTTGTTTAAAAATATTTAGAGTCCTCTCATTTTTTGATAAACTTCAAAATTATCAGTTGATCTAGGACATTATTCTTTAGGCTGGATTCCTATTTTCCTCAAATTTTCTGTTCAGATGAGAAAGCAATGAAATTCATTCAGCTCGAACGACTGTATCATGAGCAATTGCTCGCAAATCTTTCTGCCATTCAAGAACAGTGGGGTGAGTACAAACTAATGTAGAATGCAGAATTATCAATAATCTAACAAATTGCTATCTAGAAAGTTAACATATTTGACCTGGTTTTCTAAGTCAGGAAGTAGATGTTTCTAGTCAAGTTAGTGTTGCAAAGAAAGTAGCATTTTTACCGCAAGTTTACCTCATTTTAAGAAAGTTTTTGTCTTTGTATTTTGTTTTTCATGCCAGTGCCAAGAAAAGAACACTTGCAAATTTTTCATTTCTTCTGATGTCCTTGGCTGATTTAGTCTCTGGGATATATACTTAGATCTAAAAGCAATCACTTAGCTATTTCTGTGTTCACTTTGGGCTGAAAAGATAAATTTTTCATGATAATCTTTATCAGTGGTGCCAGTTAAGTATTTTTTCCCTTCTAAACATGTTTTGTAATAGCTAGTGACTAACAAATATTTCAAATTTAGAAACAAAATGGAAAACTGTACAACCACATACAGTTACACCTTTGAGGAATTCAGAAAAAGGATTTAATGGTGAAGATTTTGAACGTCTTGCTAAATTTTGTGCAACACATCAAGAGTAAGTACTTGACTGTTTATAATGAATTGAAATAGAATATTGGAGAAGCATTGTAGTACTGAATATTTAAAATGCAGAATTCATTTCTCTGTTTTGTTAATGCTAACTGGAGAAATTAAAATTAATAAAATGATTAGGTTCCTTTCTCAGCTTTTATCTCAGTTTCTTACACTAAACTTAGCAAAAGGTCTGCTTTACAAAATTTAAGCACCTTCTAATTATAAATTTTTAAATGTAACTTCTAATTTTGATTACTTTTTGCTTAAGAGTTTAGGTGATTCAGATGGAAAAATTTATGTTAGGATTTTTTATTATAATTGTTTTTCAGTGTTTGTATGTCTGTCACTGTTTGTATATTGTAGTAAAAACACATTTTTAAGAGGAGCCTAATACTGGAATGCAAATGCACTTAATCAGAATACCAGATTTAAATTATTTGATTTGTATCAAACAGTTGGATTTTTAAAACTGAACATAGTAATAATAAAGCACTTAAATATATATTTTTTAATTTATTATTTGAAGACTCAGAATTATAAAGGTGAGGGGAGATGATAGTTATTAAACTAGTGCAGATCCCTGGGATGTACAATTTTCTTGTGTTAGTTTGAACTTTTGAAACAGTCTTTTTATGGATTCTGCATTATAACCTAATTTTAGCATGTTAAATAGGTTAACTTTTGGCTGTGTAAAACTTCTAAATAATGGAATGTTAAAAATAGATAAGGGAGATTGTTTTCTTACTTTCAAAATAGTCAATATTTTGAATTTGAACACTTTTTCTGCTCTTCCCAGGGATCTAATAATTGTTTAATGTGTTAGAAATGTTTTAATTATTTAAAAATAAATATTTATTGAACCTAATATAGATGTGACTTTTTTTCTTTTTTTCTTCTCTTTTTAAATATAAGGCAACTTGCCAACACAAAATGTTCTTTTAATTTTTATTGCGGTATAGTTGATTCATAATGTTGTGTTAGTTTCAGATATACAGCAAAGTGAATCAGTTATCCTTTTATACATATACCTGCTCTTTTCTAGATTCTTTTCCCATATGGGTCATTACAGAGTATTGAATAGAGTTCCCTATGCCATACAGTAGGTCCTTATTAGTGCTAACACATAATTTAAAAACTAGTCTTCGGTCACATTGCTTCACATCACTAGAGAATTTCTGATTAGTGAACAGTAAATAGTATTGTAAACCAAACCTAAAATTTTATGCTTATATTTGATAATTCTCCCAAATTATACCCCTAAAATTAATATAAAATATTTGAATATTAAAGTACACAGCTAAATTTTTACATGTACAGATACATATATGTAACTAATACTCTGACCAAGAATCAAAACAGTCCAGCCCCTCAGAAAGCCCCCTAATTTGTGTACAAAGTCAGCACCCATCCCCCTCAGATAGTAACTGCCATCTGAGTTCTATAACACTGTATTTGCCTGTCCTGTAGTTTTGCATAAATGTAATCACACAGACTAGATTTTTGTATCTAGCTTTTTTGCACATGATTACATCTGTGTTACATGTTGTTACATGCAGTGGTAGTTTGCTCTGCTTTACTCCTGTGTGGATTCATTATATGACTGTGCAGCAATTTATTTATCCATTATATTGTTAATAGACATTTGGATTGTTTCCAGTTTTTTAATATTATGAATAAAATGGCTGTGAACAGTATTGTGTGTGCTTTTTGGTGAATGTATGCATTTTTTTATCTTGAATGTTCCCTAAAATTTATTTACAGATTACGTCTTTTTTTATCCTTTTCTGTGGAAAATGTGAATAAAATTATCTTCCACCATAATCAACTTTAGATGATAATGAAATAAACTGAAGCTTTAATATGTGTAAAATACTCTTGAAATACATTATTAGCAAAAGGTTGACATTCTTCCCCTCGCTGAATCTCAGTATTTATAGCTTCTTTGGAGGTTTTCATTAGTTATTGGCCATCTAGGAAGATTAACACATGATATAGTTGCACTTTGAACTGTGTGAACCAGTGGTAATGTTTCAGCAGTGGAAATGTTCTGTGCTAATATTAGAATCCAGAGAAGCTGTATTTTTTTTTTTTTTACAGCCGTTTCAGTGACATTTGTTTGGAAGCATTTTGCTGCTATAATATTTTTTTTAATTCTTTTTTTTCCTCTCTCTCTTTTTTCCTACAGTCCTCTTTTATCCAAAGATAAGGTAAGAGATTTTCTTTGAAAATGTTTATAGGAACAATGTAGAGTATCATGTTTTGTTGTATGGACTGATTTAGCAAATAATGAAACCTTCCTCAAATTGTTTTCAGCTTTCTAACTTAATGCAACAGTTTCCCCCAAAGTTTTTTTTTTTTTTCCTTTCTTTTTGAAAAACTTTTTAGATAGCAGCTGTCCAGAAGTCTCTGGGAAGGAAATGCTTTACGCAGTTAATAGTGACTGAAGATCCAAAGGAAAGAGGAGCTACAGCCAAAGAGCTGGGTATGTTTTTAAATTAGAAGTAGACATTAAAAATGCCTGCCTCATATAATATTTTACAAGTATTACATCTAAGTTGCTGTGAAGGAGCTTTTTTGCACATACTGCTCCTAGACAAATAGCAAAGCAAGGGTTTTTTTTTAACATCATATAATCCTATTTTTAGATATCTAGTAGTAGAAATTGTAAAATCTAAATTCTTATAAAAACAAAATTATTACATGTTTTCTGTAGTGGTTATATGTATCTAAGAGAATATGACAGGACTGTGCAAATAAGCTCTGAAAGGGAATTGGTTTTAGTGTATTCAAGCATCCTTTTCTGTATAAAAACCAACACTTTTTTTACAAACTTTACCAGAAATTTTTTTCTGTAAATCTAGATATTATCAAGATAAGCTCTGTATCTTGATAGCTTATCTATGGTAATTTATTCTCTTCTTTTTTTGTTGGCTAACATGGGGTACTTTAATTTATATATATCTATTTCTAAAGCATTTATAGTTATGTTTTATATCACTGTGTCTTATGTCAAAAGTTAAGAGTTTTAGAAATTTATTTTCTTATAGTAATAATGTATGTACATTATAAAAACTTTAGAAACTAAAGATAGATTTTTAAAACTGTGTTTTAGGGCATTTATTTTTCCATGTATTATGATTTTAGTACTACTTTATATTCCTGGGCCTGAAAATGGTGATATTAAACAGGCAGCATCACATGTCTTAACTGAGTTGCCTAAGGAGATAAAATGACAGTGATGATGCCTTCAATTTCACTTGCCTTTTTCTCTTTTAAGTTTTTCCCCCTCAGATCTTGACTTTATCCCCTCTTCTCTTATGTGGCAAATTTGGGTTGCCTTAGGTCAATCCTACTATATTCTGTTCTTCCTGTCTCTTTTCTGGTCATTTTTATGTTGGAAATCAGAATATAATGAGCTTCATAAACATTTTAGGGGATACATCACAAAGCAGTCACTAGTTTGGGTGTGAATATGTCTCTGTGTTGTGCACATTGGGAAGAAGGCTATTCTAAGTTTGAGTCTGACTCTGCCCAGCAATAGCTCGGCACTGCTTCCAGCTTGGACTCTGCCGCAGGATGTGTGGCGCAGACCGGGAAACTGAGATACCACACATAAGCCACTTGCTTGGTGCTTTGACTCACAACTAGAACCTTTGTCTTCTGGTTTCTAACTGAATTGCAGCATGCTTCTGCTAAGGAACTTGTGTGGATTATCAAATTCCGCAGTGCAGACATTTCATTAATAACCATGTTATGGGGAGGGTGTGAACTAAATTCTAGAGAAAGAAATCTTGCCAAGTCTGATAAAATAGTATCTTTTAAAGAAAAATGTCAAATCTCTCATAGTCTACCCAGACGCGTTATTCTATGAATAAATACAGAGAAATGTAAGAAAGAATATGAAAAAAATAGAAATATGAAAATATTACTTTAAATGGTTTGTATTTAATATATTCTCTGTTTTACCCCATATCCCTTATTTCTAATATCTTATATGTTCTACAGTGTAGAGTTTTGCTTTTCTTTCTTTATATATGTCTTGGTCTTAAACTCCTTATATAATAAATAACTTGCTTTTGTCTGTGTGTGGTTGTTTCTGGTATCAAACTTGTCTGGTTTGAATCCTCTCTCCGCCACTTAAGTTTGTGTGACCTTAAGAGACTTCCCTGGCAATCCAGTGGTTAAGACTCCGCACTCCCAATGCAGGGGCACAGGTTTAATCTCTGATCGAGGAGCTGAGATCCTGCATGCCACATAGTGTGGCCAAAAAGAAAAATTTGTGTGACCATAGACAAGTTGCTTAACCTTTTTTCTGTCCCTCCCTTTGCTCAGCTCCAAATGTGGGTTATTTTTACCTCATAGGATTTTTATGGGGATTAAATTAGTAATTTCACTAAGGTTTAGAACAGTACCTGGCACAAGGTAAGAAAACTACATGCTCACTGCTCTCATTACCCTTCCTCCACCACTTCCTCCCCATGTTATCACTACCCCCTGTGGCTAGTATTCCATTAATGTTCTCTATGTGTTATTCATTGCTGCTTTTCTAATTAATCTACCATGATTAAAGTCTCCAAGTTATTTACATATTACTTTATATTTTCAGTGTGCTTTTATGTATATTGTTTCATCTTTTCCTCTTAACTGATTTAAGGTAGGCTAAGTCATTTTAAGAAACTCAGGGAAGGTAAATGACTTATCTAAACAGAACTGCAAAGTTAAAACCCTGTTTTCTGACCTTGAAGCCCATGTATTTTTATTATATTTTAATTCATTTTTATTAAGTAATATTCATATGTGAAAATATGTCACATATATACATTATAACAATGTATTAAAAAAATGAAGACCTGTGAACCTTACACCCAACAGAGGGACTAGATTATTGTCAGTCCTCCTGTTAAAACTACCTTTGTGTTCCTTTCTATCCCATCACTGCTTCACTTCCCTGCCCCTAGTAGTCCTTATCCTGAGTTCTCCATTTATCATTCTCTTCCCACTTTTTTTTTTAAATTACTTTATTTTTCTTTGATTTATTTTTATCTTCTGGCTATCTACACAGCATATGGGATCTTAGTTCCCTGACCAGGGATTGAACTCTTGCCCCCTGCACTGGAAGCAGAGTCTTAACCACTGGACCATCAGGGAAGTCCCATCTCTTCCCACTTTTTAATCAACATTTATTGAAGTACAATTTCCATGCAATAAAATGTACCCATCTCAAGTGTACACTTTGATGAGTGTTGGCAGTTGTGTACACCCATATAACTACTACCCCAGTCAGAATATGGATCATTTTTATCACTCCAAAATCTTTCTCCCAATATTATTATACTCAGTCCTTCCCACCTCCAGTCCCAGGCCACCAGTGCTTTCTTTTATTATCGATAGGTTTTCCTTGTTTTAAAATGTAATACAAATAGAATTGCTCAGCATACTTTCTTTTGAGAATTACCCTTATGACTAAATATACCATTAACACATTCTTTTTTATTGCTGAGTAGTATTCTTTTAACCTTACACGATTTGTTTATCCACATACTTGTTGATAGACATTTGAGTAGTTTCGAAGTTGGAGATATCATGAATAAAACTGATAGGAAGTTGTTTTTTTGTTTTTGTAGATATATGTTTTCATTTCTCTTGGGTAAAAAGAACTGAAGGTAGAATCAGGGTCATAGGGAAGATACATGTTTAACTTTATCAGAAGCTGTCAAACAGTTCTACAATGCTGTTGTCCCATTTTATACCCTGCCAGCAATATATGAAAATTTCAATTGCTTTTAAATCCTTGCTGACATTTAATATTGTCAGTCTTTTTTTTTCTTTAAAGTCATTTTAGTAGATATGCATATCATTATGGTTTTTAACTTGCTTTTCCCTGAGGACCAAGTGTATACATTTTTAGTTTTGCATTAACCTCTGTAGAAGTTGTATTAATTTATACTATTAGCAACATTTCAGACTTAATTAAGGCACATTTTTTCATCAATCTGCCAAAATAAATATTAACATTGAAAATTTATTTTTCAAGCCTGATATCACTAAAATGTTTTTACCCAATGATAATTAGTGAGATATTGAGAAACTATAAGAAACATGTTAATTCATGAATGCTTTAGTCTCATCCATAAATTACATGGGGAATTTTTCCCTAAAGAGAATTCATGGCAGAATGAGAGTTGAGAGAGTAACTCAAAGGCATGTGCGTTTGTAGAGCACATGTTAGAACTTAGATTAAGTCCAACTTCTCATTTGAGAACTACCTCTTTAATTTGGTATTATTAAGTATGTCAAACATTCAACTGTTATTCCATTTTTATTTCATCAGAGTTGATTTTTTTTTTTAGTGTGTCTTGAGTGAATGCAATAGGGATTAGTAGACTTACCTTACTAGATCTTTGGGTTCAAGAAAGCCGGTTAACAGAAATTCATGTTAGTATTAACAGAAACATTAGCAATAAGTTCATACTACAATACCTGCTTGTAGAAAATTCAAAATATATTTTTGGTTAAACATAGTGGATCAACCATTTACTTCTACTTTTTTTTTTAAATGCTATTGAAATGTCACAAAGGGACCCTTAAAGGCAGAAAGCCAGGAGGACAGAACTGGCAAGGAACCAGCAGCAGATATGACATCCAGAAAATGTTGGAAGCTGGAAAGCAGATGGATGGGTGACAACTGGCTTAACATACCATGCATGCTCAGTCGCTCAGTTGTGTCTTTGCAACTCCATGGTTTGTAGCCCACCAGGCTCCTCTGTATATGAGATTCTCCAGGCAAGAATACCAGAGAGGGTTGCCATTTCCTTCTTCAGGGGATCTTCCCCACCCAGGGATAGAACCTGCACCTCGTGCATTGGAAATGGATTTACCACTGAGCCACCAGGGAAGCCCAACTTAACATACCAGAGAAAGCCGAAAACTAAGTGTCTACAAGGAAAAGGTTGATTTCTGCCTGAGAGGATTTGGGAACTAGAAGCACAGAGAGTGCCTCTAAATTTAAGTTAAAAAGCTGTGCAAGAAGCATTTAGACCTTTATATCCCCTCTCTCCCAGGTAGGAATCCCTACTGGAAGTTAGACATAATACAGCAGTGTCTTCAAGATTGTGAGAGAAAATGATTTCTAACCTAGAAAACTTTACCCAACCAAAGTTTTAGTCAGTGGTGAAGGAGTAAAGACTTTCAGATGTGAATAATCTTAAAACGTTTACCTTCCATGGACATTTTCTTAGGAAATGTCCTTATAATAAGAGAAGATAAACAAAGAGGAAGACCTGGGATTCAGAGAAAACAAGGTTTCCAAAATAGAGCCAAAATGAATTCCTAGGATCATTAGGAAAGGAAATTCCAGGACAATACTAGTGTAGCAAGCCTGGAAAGGAGTTCCAGGTCAGGGACTCAAGAAGAATGTGTCTTAAAACTGAAAGACTATCTGTTGTTACCTATGCCATAGTTATCTATCTGTCAGAGTTCAAAGATGCATAGATTAAAATTATTTTTAACAAAGTAATGAGGCTGTTATCAACACAAAAGAAAACAGCATAAATGAGAAAGAAAAATGTACCATAATACACAGTCTGGCTATCTTGTGAATACTTACAAAGCCATAGTACTGTAAACTTTGAATATTGATTTACCCCAGATTTATGTTGAATTGTAATGGGAGCTAGAGGGGAAAGAAAACATCACTGTGGGAGAAAGGAATCTAAAGAACCATGAGAACTAACTCTCTTCCTTAGTAGGAAGTTAGTAGGTGGTCTCTAAAACTGAAAAGTCAATAGATAAAAATGGAAAGCTTCTCTAGAAATGGAGGGTAAATATGAGCAGAAACAGCTAAAGGAATTGAAAAGTAGCTGCCCCTAGAGAGCAGACATCAGACAGATGGAAGACTAAGGCAGAAGACTGTTTTTCATTACCAGTCAAGACAGGTTTTAAGCTTTTCTCCAAAAGCATGATTTGATACAACAAATTATAAAATAGCATATGTCTTGTTTGATTTGGAGACTGAATATGTATTAAAAACATCATTTATACTTTATATGGCATCACACATAAATTACAGCTACTGTCTTGATCTAGTCTGAAAATTTTGCCTTTACATCTTAAATTGCTATTTTTTTAGTATTTTATATTGTTTCTAATAGTGGAATGAAGCAACTGTTTTCAGGCTAGTATTTTATAAATAATACATTGTGCCAATGATAGTCTTTATTACACACCACTTAGGTGTTATCTTGCTTCATTAGGAACTACTTAAATTGATTGTGTTTTGTCTGGTAACTATAGTCAGCCACTTCACTTTCTGGTTGTATTGTTACCGAGTCCAAGCCCACTCTCTGCTTACCACACAACAGGCCAGTACATCCGAGACGAGATGTTGGAGGCAAGGAATACGACTGTTCAAGAAGCTGGCAGACCAAGAAGATGGCAAATTAATGTCTCAAAATAACCATCTTATGGGACCCTGGATGTTAGGTTCTTTTATAGAACAGAGATGGGAAGGAGGTGAGGAAGTAAAGTAAAAAGGTCCTAAGTCTTGCAGAAATCTCCTGAAATAACCAGTCTTGTGGAGGGGTTATGTTAATTTCTTTTCTGCAGGCTTTCACAGGTGAGCAGGATCAGAATGTCTCTGTGAGCTTAACAAAGGTACTTTAGTTTAACAGGTTAGAGGGGCAGGGTTCCCTGTGGCAGGCCATTGTGTATGATTACAGTTGTAGATGGTAATTATAATAACAAAAGCAATAAAAAGCAAAGGTTAAAATAAAAGAAACAGATCCAACATAGAGTCAGAATTTGCTCTTCCCTATTACAATAGAATGCCATCTCAGACTGATTCTCTAACTTTTCAGTAATTTATAGCTATTAGTCTCATTTTGATTCTTTATGACTTAGTCCTATTCCGTTCCAAATTTAACACTTAAATCTCATTTTATTCAAAGCCCTTCTCTGTCCACCAGCTCTGTGGGGGCTGGGTGCATGGTCTGTTCCCTTTTGAGCTATCTAGATTAGTGCATAGGCCTGAATCTAGTCTATAGGGACATTGGTGGCTCCAGCAGGACCAAGTGAGGAGGAGCTTACTTCCAAGTCACTTTCCTGGACATTTGTGGTCCTTCAGGTAACTGACCTTCAGCTTGAGACAGCATACCCCATTCCTCTGCTGTGAGGGCCTCTCTGCCATGTGTTTATGCTCTTTACTCTTTGAATACCATGGATGTGTTTGGAGGGCTGTCTTCTGAACCTTTGGGTACTGGGAACTTGGAGAGGAGAGCTTGGATCCCTTTGCAGCTGGCTGGGGCCCTCTTTGCTCAGACCTCCCCCGTCTTAACAGAGAGGCAGACCAGCAAGCTCAGTGGTGAAGCTGACAACCTAATGGGGATTAAAATGGTTTTCTGCAGCCTTCCCAACTTTGAGCGATTCTTTGTTGTTGTTCAACGGTCAATTCATGTCTGACTCTTTACAACCCCTTGGATTGCAGCAGGCCTGGCTTCCCTGTCCTTCACCGTCTCGTGGAGCTTTACCATCTCCCTGAGTGATTCTTTGGGGTGGGACAAAAGAAAGAATGCTCTATTCTCCCCCAAAGAGACCTCTTTTTCCTTGTCCTCTCCTCATCTGACTTTGACTTAAGGTGTTGGGAGAAGTAATACGAACTCAGCAGTGCAGAGCTGAGGTTGCCAGTTTCTTTCCCTGATTCTCTGAAATCAGAAGGTGGCATTTAAGTCTTGCCTTTTCTTTGTTATGGTATGTGCCACCGTTGCTAATTGGTAATTATTGAAGTACCAATAGATGAAAAACCAGGTATAATATAATCATCACTATATTTCATCCTTGATTTTAACCTTTGGCCCATCATATATTATTTAATTTACATCATTTTTAAATTAAATAATATATGATAAAAGAAAAAGTTAAGAAAAAGAAAAAGTTAAAACTTCTGTGATAGTTGTTCAGTTGCTAAGTCCAACTCCTTGCAACCCCATGAAGTGCAACATGCCAGGAGTTAGGAATGCTTGATCAACCAAAAGGGTTTCCCAGGTGCAGTAGTGGTAAAGAACCAACCTGCCAATGCAGGAGACACAGGTTCAATCCCTGGGTCAGGAACATCCCCTGGCGAAGGGCATGGCACCCACTCCTGTATTCTTGTGTGGAGAATCCAATGGACAGAGGAGCCTGGTGGGCTGCAGCCCATAGGATCACAAAGAGTCAGTGACTTTTTAACTTAGCTGAAGTGAAAGTGACTGAAGTGACATAGCACAATCAACCAAAAACTGAATCATGAACAAGCTTCTCTGTGATCTACTAATTTATGTATGCATTTAGTATATATTTTGTGAAAGTTTTTAATGGTTTAATTTTAAAGTCAAAGGGAATTATTTTAAATTGATTTTATTTAAAATAGAAATTGAAAGAAATGTCAAAATTCCAAACCTATTTCTGCCTCGTACCAAGACTTATGCTTTGCTTTTTACCACTACCTGTTACTACTTCCCCTTGAGAAGTTACAAGTAATTTTCTAATACATTAATTAAGGATTTTATTATTAACGATGCTTAAATAAATTTAAACAGATTTATGTTCCTTAGGAGCTTCCCTGGAAGCTCAGCTGGTAAAGAATCCACCTGCAATGCAGGAGAGCCTGGTTTGATTCCTGGGTCAGAAATATCTCTAGAGAAGGGATAGGCTACCCACTCCAGGATTATTGGGCTTCCCTGGTGGCACAGATGGTAAAGAATCTGCCTGCAATGTGGGAGACCTGGGTTCAATCCATGGATTGGGAAGATCCCCTGGAGGAGGGCATGGCAACCCACTCCAGTATTCTTGCCTAGAGAATCCCCATGGACAGAGGAGCCTGGTGGGCTGCAGTCCATGGGGTCACAGAGAGTCAGACACGACTGAGTGACTAAGCACAGCACAGCATTTTCCTTAATTAGCCTTAATAGATCAGAACCAGTATTGTTTTTCTTACAATATAATACAGTATATTTCATAAACATACTGAAAATAATTTTCCCACACTTTAAAATGTTTAAAATATTTGTTTAAATAGATGCAGCTAATAAAGTTTAGAATGTCTTTTAAACCTTTGAAAAATTACTTTTTTCAATTATAATGAAGACTAAGCAATATATTCTTGTCCTTAACATGTTTTTGAATAATCTCTGTTAATTTTTATATCTAAAGGATTACTTACTAAATGTTTAGAGTATTTCTTCACTTAAAGATGCTATAATCCAACAGGTAGAATTTCCATTTCAGAGGTGCAGAGTATTACTGTGTCCCACCGTACAATTCATGTCCTTTCTCTTCCCTTCTGTACAAAATGCCGTGTTGAATCTTAAAACCACTTGTTTTTCTTCATCTTCAGAGAGTGAAACTTGTCTTGGCATGGAATCAGGAAAAGAGAGCCAACGTAAAGAAGAGGCCCCGGAGAGCAGTCCCTGCTGTGATGAGATGGTCAGGCAGGCAGATCCCCGGAGCCTCCCGGTAACTGCAGGGAAGGGCCACACGGAGGAGCCACTCTGCAGCGCCGAAGCCACGCAGGAGCTCCACGCCCAGCCCTCGGAGTCGGCAGGGAGCAGGTCCAGCCCCCACTCCTCAGGGAACGCTCCCGAGGAGGACAGCCGCCTGCAGCTGGCTCAGACAGAGGCCTGCCAAGACGTGGCCGAAACAGAGCACATTGCTAAAGACCCTAAGGTTTCCAGCCAGTCAGTGACAGAGCCATTGATTTTACCAGGCTCTGATCATATACCTCCTGCATTGATATCTGAGGGTAAATACTCACAAAGAAAGGAACTCCGGTTGCCACTCCAGGATGCTTCTGAGGCGTTGCCCACAGACCAACTTGAGAACAATGAATTAAATGAGCTGCAGCAACCTGATCTCACAGAGCGTGATGGAAAATCACCACAGGGGCAGGCTGACTCAGAGGGCTCTGAGAGTGTACTTTGTGAAAATAATCCAGTGTCTGATTTAAGTACAGTGCTTCCAGAGGTGTATATGGCCCCAGAGGAACAGGGAGATAAGGAAGAACAAGTCAGTAAAGAGACAGACGACTATTTGAACAGCCTTTTAGAAGGATGCTTAAAAGATACTGAAGATTCCCTCTCATATGAAGATAACCAAGAGGAAGACTCTGATTTGCTTCAAGATCTTTCTCCTGAAGAAGCATCCTATAGCCTACAGGAGAACCTGCCTTCTGATGAAAGCTGTCTGTCTCTCGATGATCTTGCAAAAAGGATAGAGATCGCAGAGGTAAATTTGAGATTTAATATAAATATAATTTTAAAAGTAAGATGAAATTTGAAAGCACATATATGTTAAATATTGCCTTGCCTTTGTGAATTTTTCTCTGGCCTCAAACGTAGCAGGGAAATTTAGTTAGCATAAACTTTGACTCACTATGTATAATCATGATGTTTATACCTCAGCTAATTATATTGTATGCCTCCAGTATAATAAGTATTATATACACCATTTTTCATACTTTTATGATTTTCATTTGGCAGGCCTGGGAATTATGAACAAGATAAGATTAGTTACATTCTTGTAAGGAAATCTTATGTTTCTTGTCATACATCTAGAAGATAAAATACTACTGTTTCTTCTTAATACTAATGTGTTTTGAAAGTCTTTAAAACATTATAACAATGAATGAAACATTTTAAGATACAGTAAGAGTTGGAAATACTGAATGGATTTATCAGCTCTAGGTTTGAACAAACTAAATACTCCTTGACTAAGTCAAATTTTACAAATAATTCAAAATTTTAAAGTTTCTCTAAATAGTATTTAAGCTAATCAAAACCAAAAAAGAGAGCAGGAGAGAATATCAAAGTGACCATCCTCCTTTGTTTGAGAATACAATTGTTTAAAGTTCAGGCAGGGGCAGGGGGGACCATACCAAAACTATAGCACCTCCAAAAGGCAGCCTGGCCTAGTAGAAAGAGCAGTGTGTGACAACCTTAGTTCAAATACTGACTCAGCCTTCAAATGCTGACTTCGAATACTGTTACCAGCCTTATGGAGTTACCGTCTAATTCTGTTTATTTCTCTGAGAATTAGGATGCTAACTGCTTTTCTTCTCTCATCTTATATTTTTTCCAAGTAAGCGTTTATTTTAATTTGTATCTGTTGTTTTCTGATTCTGCGTTATCACTGAAATAAAAAACCATCAAGTGGAAGATGGAAATGTAGCCAAGCCAAAGTAGACAACAGAGTACATATGGAAATGAAACCCTGTGAGAGCGTCCTAAGATAATTACTGTCATGTTACTAGCTTGCTTTCTTGCAGTTTATAGTCAACTATCAACAATGATTTTTTTAATTTTTTTCTTCACAAAATAGATAAAATAGTCATTCTTTTTATTTTAAGTAGATCTTTTTATTGCCATTGACAGTCAATCCTCCATAAATTGACTTTTCTTCTTAATTTTTTCCTTAAAATCGTTTAGTAGTGCTTAATGAGTGCAGAGTTTCTGTTGGGGTGATGAAAATTTTAGAAACAGATATTGGTGGTGGTTATACAACATGAATATAATTTCACCTAAAAATGGTTAAAATGGCAATGTTATATGTGTGTGTGTGTATATATAATTTTTGTATCATAATTTTTAAGAATAGTAAAAAAAAAAAAAAGAAAGATTTTAAATAGATCTAATAGTATAACACTGGACCCAGAACTCCTTCTCTTTATTGTCATCAGACTTCTGGTACAGGGAATTATCAAAGCAAAGTCACAACCATATTCAAATCTAGGTTTAATGCCAGAAGTTTACTACTGTCTAACTGCTTCTTTTCAAGTTGAATCAAGCTGACTTGTTGTATGGTCTAGTTTTACTTTTTTAAATATAAACTGTGGAGAAGGACAGAGTGCTCCTGTTGAGTTTCCCTGCCTTAATGGACATTTATGGTGGGGAATTACTGTTGAATTAACACTGTACTACAACTAAATGGAATAGTCCTTCCTCAAACTCATGTCAGTTTTTCCTAGGTTTCCTCCATGGAGATTATGCTATGTACATCTTAAAATTGTCCTTCCTGTGAAATTACTTTTTATACACGATGGTCCCCTTTCCTAAAAGTCTATTGGTCTGTTAAGTTGTACTGTTTTTAAAACCCCCAAAGCTGCATATGACTGACAATGCTAGTTTACTTTTCTATGATAATGCTAAACAGACTGTTTCTGAATACTCCTTCCCCATCCTAAAAAATATACTTTAATAAAATCTGCCTAACTGTGTCAGGAAAAGTTTTTAAACTTTGAAAATCACTGTGCTTACTGTTTCCTTAGTACCTTAAAAATGAAGTTTTGAGCTCAGTAAAATGTTCAGGTAATAGGGGGTTTGCTTTTAAGCGCAAACTTCTTTTTAATCCAAACACTGTTTATTTCGTGCTTTCAGTGAAACTGTGTTAGGATGTCTTCCATGTGTCAGGTGATGAAGATGCAGTGAGGAAGCAGAAGTTCACGGCATTTGAGGGGCTCTCTTCTGCCACACTTGTCCATACTTTTGTGAACAGAGGATACAGAACATAATTCCTTAATAACTAAACAATATTCACGGATATTTTTCCTGCCCTCAGGAGGCACTGAGGCTCGTAGCCTGTGTTCCTCCATATAACCGTGCTTTCCTTGTGAGTCCTTCTCTCCCAAATTTATCATTTCTTGTCAGTGACTCCGCCCCTCACAGATCTCCTTACAGCCTGTCACACTTTCGACCACTGTGTTTATGGTAGAATATAATGGTATGTTGTCTCATTGCCATATCTCTCTCTGCTTTCATTCTCTGGCCATTTCTGCATGGCTCAGCTCTGTCTTCAGTGGAACTTGGCCCTGATAACCATCACAGTGGAAGTGTTTGTTGTTTTTTTAAAAACACTTAGGTTCATCATTATTTCATTAAGATGAGATAATTTATACAAAATCTCATAGAGAACTAAAAACATGTACACTAATCTAATTTATTAATAAAGATATATGTATAAATGAAACTTTTCTAGGTTTGGGAAATGTTTTCAAAGCCAGAATAATTTTGCTGAGTAAAATAATAGCTTAGTATCCGAAGCATTGCTGTTCTTTCTTATGTAAAAAAAAGAACCTAGAACCTGACACACTGTCATCAAAGTATAATATCTACTGTTTTTTTTTTAATCTTTTAGAAAACTTTGTTTTTAATGGAAGGATAATTGCTTTACAGTATTGTGTTGATTTCTACCAAACATCAACATGAATCAGCCATAGGTTTACCCGTGTCCCCTCCCACTTGAACATCCCTTCCACCTCCCTCCCCATTCTACCCCTCTCTGCTGTTTTCAAAAAGCATCAAAAACATTTATGTTCATTTCATAGATTCTTAAGAAAAAAGTTTATCACATGTGGAGTGTCTGTACGTTAGAGCAATTCACTCACTTATCCCCTCATTCAGTGATTTTTATGTAACTCCTGAGTGCCATGACATTACAGACGCAGTGATTAAAAGTTCAGAGAAAGAGGCTATATGTGTGAAGCCTCAGTCCAACAGTTGTCTGACTGCAAGTGCTACCTGTTTACTGAATTTGAGTATCCTAGTTTTTAGAAAAAGATGAAATTTTATCTCAATACCCATAATACACTGACATTATTTTAATGTTAGAATCCAAACTCCTCTTACCCAGCAACCTAGTAATGCTCATACATCCCTGACTTGCTTTGTTCTGGAACCTGGCAGGATTGCATTATCTTTTCTTTAAACTCTTTAGCTGTTCCTAGCATCAGAACCTTAGGAGGATATATGCTATACAAGTTCAGAGAGGCATTAGGATCCAGCCTCATACTGCTATTGATAATAAAAGTCCACTCAGAGTAGACTGTTACATATGTGGAGAAGAGGGAGTTGTTTTATTTTCTAAATAAGTAGCACATCAAGTATTGGATAGATTTTTACAAAAATTAATCTATTCACATTGAAAATAATCATAGTATATAATTCAAAGATCCCTTTATGAGCAGATTTTAGCAACATGATATGCCATATGGAAATAAACCATTCATTTTTCTTCATTTAACATATGTATGTGTAATCTGTTGGCGGAGATGTCATATGTTCAGAAAACTAAAGGCTTCAGAGTCAAGTGATTTTTGTTTTTAGAAATAATATCATAATTTCTTTACTCCTTTACTACTGCTTGGGTCTTTAAAAAACTTTTAATCTGAAAGAGGACAACACATGTTCCTTGTCCTGTGTCTATATTGGCAGCATTACTTAGCTTTAGGTCTACCTGTCTCACAGGAACCAAAATAGGGAAGGACATAACCTAGAACTTTCTGACGGGGAGAAAGGTAACAATACAGAGTTGGTATTAAGTTTGTCTCCAGAGAAACTAATCTAAGTGACTTCTGTGCAGCAGTCATCTCTGTCTCTTGGGTGGGATCGGGGATTAAGTTACATTAAGAGTAACCACTGTGGGATTCCCTTACCAATATAAGATGCTAGGCTAGGATAAAGCAGCAGGATTTTAGGAAATCATATAGTTAGCTCTTTTGTGAATCTCAGACAAAGGAGGGTCGTAGAAACAGCAATCATGGTGTTTTTGAATGACTGTTTTAAGGGGAGCAGGGTAAGCCCAGCTTCATCACCATAGAGGAAATATAGTCTTCCAATAACGTAAGAGGGTCCATGGAAAATGCTTGACCCAGGATTTATGTAAGTGTCTAATGAGCCCCAGAGGATTATCCAGGGATTACCTATCCTTTCTCTGTGCCAGATGGTCTCATCTTTGCCTTTCTTTTTTATCCTGCCCTCTAAATTTTCTGATTACTTACTGCATCTCTTATTTATCATGTCTCTTGGACCCAGCTCCTTTTCTTTTCCATTTAAATCGTTCTTTAAATTTACGTCTTTACTGCCTCTTTCTGGACTCTTGCAGTAACTACTTAATAAGTTTCCCCATTGCTTGTATCATCTTCTCCCCCTTCAAATGGTCTTATATTTAATACGGTATAAAAGTAGTGTCTCAATAGGATCACCCAGCCACTCAGGCAACACAGGTAAATGAAATGACTCAGTTGTAGGTGATGGGGGAAGGTTCCCATTTCTTGTCTAGAAAGCTGAATAGCTTTTTTAAATTCTCTAGGTGAAACCAAACACACCTGCGGGTCTGGATCTAACACATAGACTGTGAGTTTAAACCTCTGCTATAAAATAATGTTTGCTTGTCAGTCTTCTCCCATGACTCCATTTGGCTCCAGGATAAGGGCTGTATAGTAAATGGCTTGA